TCGCTACTATTTCGTTTTTTTAGAATCGTATACGCAGTTCTTTAGTACCTGTCGTATCGTATGTGACAGCATGTTATACGCTTCAACGAATACGACAACTTGAGCCTAAGGACATTGCGTTGAATGGAAAAATACTGAAAAAAAATTCATACGTGTTGTTTCATTTCTTCAATTTCAAACTTATTTTCTCAACAGTGGAGCAGAATAACTATTAAAGAGAGAAGGAAATGTCATGTTGCACACTAGTTATGCTTGAGCGCTTCAGAATACACGAACCTCGATGCCAAGCACCAACTTCGCAAAGAAAACTTGCTCTTGTAACGTAAATAGAATCCAGCTGTGAGTGGTCTATATGAGACTTTCGTCCCTGGTTCTTATTTTAGTACATGCCTGTCTACTCCACAATATCTGCCGCGGCAGGAGGAAATGCGCATTTGGAAGCACCCAGCGTTCTCAAACTATAGTATAAGCTAAACTAAGTCGAGGTCACAAAAAAGAACCCGGAAAGTTCGAAGGTGTTATAAAGGCATGCAAGTCAAAACTTTTTTTTTTTTCTGCCGTATGCTGGGAGTAGTTTTCCGTGAATTCCGCATAATACAAGCACCAGGCAAGAACGAATCCATAAGTAAATATGCGAAGAGAGCCTGTCGTAGAAAGTATACGCTTCAGAACTTCAAATGCCCGTTATTCAATGTGGAAAGCATTGCCGTTAAAAAAAATTCACAACTTGTTTTATGTTCTACAACGAAGTTTTCTTACAAGTTAGTTATTACTACATTCCAAACGTAACCGGATGTGGATTCTGGATTCGAGCGTTTGCCCATGTCAAGCGGAAGAGTACATCTTGTTTCCACTTCTGCCTTTGTTACGGAGAGCGTTGTGTAAACGAAGTGGCGTCTCTTGAAGAAGCTCCGCGGATGTTCCAAATCCCGTGATAGGATGTGTCTATATTTTAAAGTTATATATGCTCTTTTGGAGAGCTGTCGCAGAGAGATCAGAGTCTTTTGTGAGGCTGTAGGGCGTCCAGGGTGAGTATCACCAAACAATGAAATCTGTGTCACTTGGCGCTCTACGAGCGCAACCGGCAAGGAAGCCCTTCACTTCGGTAAATCTACTTTCCTTAGTTCCTCAAAGGCTCAGTGGTTTCATCCACTGTTGCTTCTGTGTGAGTCCTAGCCAGAGCGTGCATATTTTCGCTTGTAGAAGTTTCAGCAAAAGTCATGCGACGACATTTTTAGGGGCGAAGGCCCTCTTGATTTATCCTTGTCCCGCGTCAGACGTAACCGTAAGAAGAAGAGACTAGAAAAAATCACAGCATATCTACGAAGTAAATGATGGTGAGTGGGGCGAGGCGTCCGTCTGTGTTCCCGTCTGTTTGTCTGTGTTAGACATAACGCGCGGTGAAGCGAGAGATGCGAAAAACAAATCAAGAGACTAAAAACCACGAAAGAAGGATATCAAGAAAGGGTATGAAATGAAGGATACTGATAAAAAAAAAGAGCTACAGGCTGTAGTCAGGATTCAAGGCTCGAATCACAAAGCAGCTAGTTGTTTCTTATAATTTTTACTTTTTTTACTTCCGTCAACTTTTTTTTTTTACTATCCTGACCGTTGACGCGAAGCTCCTTTTTAAGAAGAACAGAAATAAATGTTTTTGACGCTGCTACACTCAAACGAAGTAGTTTGAGTCATACATTATGGTGGAGATCCTTTTTATTAAATTCCAAGTAAAAAGCGTCCGCTTTCTTATGATTTATTGTTATCAGCACCCATTATATTTCACGCCCTCAGAGCAGCTGTGAGGCGAACCAACTTTTCTTCTCATGGAGAACTCACATATGATGGCTAGAATGCGTGCTTCCTGAAATGCTACCTGAAAAAATAAAAGTTTGCGGATCACGAATGAAAATGGTCGCGCCGTCAGATTTAGCTGACAGCGAAACGGAAGTCCTGGATGACGAGATAATGCTGTCTACTTTCCATTTTATTAAAGGCCGTGTGAGAGAGGATTCAGGAAATCGAGCTAAAAGCTATTGCCTACCCGTTCGGAGAGCTGCGTCTCTTATAGTGAGGATAACACTCTGAGGGCCCGGGTAGATGAGCAATATTGAGCAGCGAAATAATGCAATGCTGCAACTTCTCCGTGAGTGCGGTGACAGAAATGGTGTAATCTCTGCGCAACACGCGCTATACAAATAGAAGCACGACTAATAGTAAATTTTCGATGTCGTTGTTGTGTTAGAGTACAAAAAACCAAATATAGCTGTACCACGCGGTGCTTAGGCTAGTGGCTTAAAAATGGTGTGCATTTCTCGCGCGGTCAAGAAAATGCTTATATTTGCAAAGGCAGATTTCAAGAAGCCGCACGCGTACCTCACACAAAGTCGTCTTATGCATGTGTGACGTCCTGCAGTTGATTCGGTTCTCTTTATACAAGAATGAAATATGACCATCATCCAAAATATTCGAGATTTCAAGCTGCACCGTAATTACGATTAATCACTACAAAATGCTCAAATCAACGCGCATCCAGCTCGTCTTTCCCACACTAAAATTTAGAGGGACAAAGTTGTGTGAATTTGGCGCATTTACATACAGACATCCCTAATTCGCGCCTGAAAGAGGGTGATAGCACGGAATCCATAACGACTGCGACGCAGTGGAAGTCGCACGCTCTTTTTCGAAACGCCGAGACAGCCGAACTTTTTTTTCGAAAAGACGCGATGCGTTCGCTACAGTCGCATCGCCTCGGGGTAGTTGTAAATTCATCCTAAACTCCCCTCCCCCCTTTCCAGTTCATAAACAACGCCTCAGTGGTCACTGGGGCGCTCGACGGGCAAAGATGATCCGATACTTCCGAGTTCCGTGCGGTTCGAACTATCCGACGCATACATGGCTCGGTGTCACTGCAGTCTGTTTGTTTTGCAAGGCTTTCCAAGCACGTGCGACAACATACGCGCTCGATTGCTCCCAGTGGACCACGAGAACTTGTAAAAATAAGCTGCCAGCACTCGGTTTTTTTCGCAACTGTTTTTATTATTATTACGTGCTTCCTTGAGTGCGGTTTGCGTATATGCGTTGCTGCGTTGGTGCCGTCAAAATGAATATTTTTTTTCGTGGTTTCGTCGCAAGGCAGAGCAGCAGCATGTGTGTGTATGTGTGTGTGTGTGTGTGTGTGTGTGTGTGTGTGTGTGTGTGTGTGTGTGTGTGTGTGTGTGTGTGTGTGTGTGTGTGTGTGTGTATGTGTGTGTGTGTGTGCGTGTGTGCGTGTGTGTGTGCATAGTTTTCCTGTTACTGACTCTGTATGGGCCTTCTTTGTCGAAATTATTTGGTATAGAAAAGCATCCTTTTTGGTGCACACGAACTATAGCTTTACTGCAGTGACAAAATTGGATTTCCATCACTGATGAACTCGCCCCCTTTTGCTGCATTCTACTTTTTTCTCATTTTATTCTAATAATTCAGCCCCTTCTACGTTGACCGGCACCTTTCTTTCTATTTAGCATGAAAAGACCTTCTTTCAAACAATAAGGTCTTGCCCCCACCGCCACTGAAAAAAAAAATGGCTACGTGCCTGCAAGGACGCATTGCTGTGCTTTGGCTCTGTTAGCCGCTCGCCTTTGAATGATGTGCGCGCCTGTTCGAACGTTTCGGAAAGAAATTTCGGTGGCGAAGAAATTATGCGGCTGACTGGAAACTATCATTCTTTCTTTTTTTGACCGGCAGGCCATTTACGACAGAACCCCTGTTGGAAACGCCTTTACGTGCTATCCTTCTGTGTGGACACCTGACTGACAGTGCGGCATGCGATCTTTGCGGCACTGACGGAAATATCGAACACCTGCTGATGCCACTGTCCTCGTTTTGCCTTGGAAAGAGAAGTACTTACGAACGCATTGTGGTGACTGGATGATCGGCCACTTTCCATACAGGTGCTGGTACAGCACCATCCGCATCTCTCGGTTGCATCACGCCTACTCACTAATCTGTGACGACGTGGTCACGTGACACGTACGCAATTCCCCCCCCCCCCCCCCCCTGTGTATCCCGCCGATTTCTCCCTTGTGTGCATACCCCATAACAGGGGCGGCGCCAGGATTTCTTCACTATAGGGCTGGGAGGAGGGGGGGGGGGGGGCAGGAAGGCAGGTAAGTTTTGCATAATCTTTTGGCTGTGTTAGATATTGGGGGTGGGGGGTCATAGAGGGGCAGGAGAAAATTCTGGGGGGAAGGAGGGGCACCAGCCACCCTGTACCTCCCGCTAGCACCACCCCTGACTCCTAATCTGCAAACAGCTATAGATTAGGTCGACGTGCAACGCGCATCAATGCCTGCGCATTGTTCAGTGCTTTAAAAGTGACAATACGGGGGTTTACGAGCGCTCGGTGCAGTTGGTAACTAATAGGGTTTGGGCAACATGCCAGCCTATTACGTGCTCTGGTGTGCATACTCTCCACAATGCACATTAGGGTTATAGGTGACAGCTGAGGCATAGACAGAATTTTTCAAGTGGGAGAGGAGGTCAGTACAAGTCTGGTTCTGGATGGGTACCTTGTTGAGACAACGCAACCGACGAAGACATAAGGTGGGGAACAGACATGGAGCGTTGACTGACAACCGATTCTCGTTAGCATTCAATTACTACAATAAATTCATTCTGTCAGGTGCAGCTGATATATTCGATGTTTACGCAATATATCTCAATAGAAATCAAGGAAGGCACAAATACAACGCAATAGCAAAATAACAAATGTTTAAACTGCGCGCCAATATCTCTTTACGCGCGCTAACACCACCTGGTTGCGGATATATGCAGTTTATATGATTAGCAAAATTATATATACAAACTAGAAACCAAACTATGGTGCGTTAAAAAAAGCAAATTTTTTATTTTTTAACTATACAAGATTCTGAAACTAAATTCAGCTTATTATGCGTCAATTCTCTGCAAGCAGCCTAGAAAACTAACGAAGCAAGCAACACTGTTGACAACAAAAACCATGCGTGTTTTGCATAGAGCTTGTTGTGGCTTGTTTTCTATCAGCGGTGCGTGGTGAACAGCAGGCGTCAGATAACATACTGACGTGAGGTCGACAAACTTTTGCGATTCGCATTTGCACGTGCGATTGTTCTTCATTTCCTACGTAAAAAAAAAAAACTACAGTAGACTTTTGTCGCAGCGAAGGCGCGATGATGATTCAACGGTTGCTCGAAACCGAGCGCAAGCTTGTTACTTTCGGATCGCGTAGACTCAATCACACATTGCCTCCGAAGATGAAAGCATGGCAAGCCCGTAGCTTTAACGGCATCGATAGCGTCCAGATGGAAGAAACGCGAGTTCCACAACTTACATCATCGAACGAAGTCCTCGTTAAAGTCCACGCAGCGAGCGTCAACCCGCTTGATGTGGCGATGTTGGGTAAGTAACGCATATAGCGGACTACTAACTAACCGTACTTGTCCCCAAGGCTTCATGAGCGCGAAAGAGTTCTGGACAGAAGGTGAAACGCTGTTCTCTAATGCAGAGTGTATTTGAACTTCTTCCGCCCAAATTGTGTAACAGGGTACGGTGACTATTCCTGAAAGAATACAATCAGTGCCATATTTGATGGCATACTATCAGCACCGATTATTTTTTATTGATCCTTGATAAATTATCGGTAAGGTTGGGTGGTGTTGGCTTATATTGGTAACCGCTTGTTAACGTAGGCATTCAACTATTACAACAGCAACACTGCCTTCCTGCAATATCAATGCATTGATTGGGTTTACAGGTATCACAACTTTCATATATGCTGTCATCGTTTGTTTCAGTAAATCTTGTCTTCGTGCACAGGACATGCCTATTCATTTTCTAACCCAAGGGCCTTCCGTGCATATCATGTAATTTTCCTTACATTTTGTTAACATAATGATCTGATCCTGATTATACCACTTTTTTTTTCTCTCTTTTTTTTTTCAGATGGATACGGAAGAAATGTTATAGATGTGCTCAGGAGGCTTCAATACTTTCCTTACAACAAAGAAAGATTCCCTATGATCCTCGGCCGAGACTTTTCAGGTGAAGTTGTCGGTGTTGGACACGGCGTGAAAGAGTTTCGATTCGGAGATGAGGCAAGATGATAAATTTTTTCTTTCTAAACCTTTCTATATTGTACGTGCGACATAGTTTTTCATTGTAGGTCCTTCTGTTTTTCTATCGTAGGTCTGGGGTGCTACCCTGGCTGGTCGGCAAGGATCTCACGCAGAGTACATCACAGTTCCTGCATGCATTGTGAGAGGCTTTTCTTGATTTCATATGCAAACTTGTTCTGTGTGGCAGCACGAGAAAACTTCGTGATGACTGAAAAATGTTTGCACTCTGCCTACTCTGCAGATAGCCAAAAAGCCAAAAACAAAGTCCCATTTGGAATCTGCAGCATTGCCTTACGCTGCGTTAACAGCATGGGCTGGAATCCGCTCCGTAGGAAACCTCAGCAGGTATACAACACAAAACAAAAGGTAAGGAAAGTGACTCAGCATACCTTAATTTTGTGAAATGAAGTGACTTTAGTAGCCGTAACCCCTTTGAACAGATCTGACAAAATAAAGGCAGCCTTTAGTTAGAAAATCTGTTGTACTTCACGATCATTGATAAATGAGCCTTACTATAGCTATTGCTTCTGTGCCTCAACAAAGTGCTTGTTGTTTTTGTGCCAGCTTTTTTTAAGAAGCCATGATCTATTGATTAACTGTATCGTGATACGTTATTCATTAATATTCTCTGTAAATAAAGGGGCATCGTTCAACCCTATGCATTGTGCTTCATTGCATGTTTTTCTCTTTTTTCTCCTGGTAGATGCTTAGTTTTGGGGGCCTCTGGTGGTGTTGGGAGTTTAGCTGTACAGGTTTGTTTTATTTCTATTTACTGTTTGTCATGAACACATCACAGATAAACGTGCAAACACAATTGCTATCTCCTTCATTCAAATACGTGCCACTGTTGCAGTTTTGCACAACTGTTTCCTTTAGCTAATTCAGCTTAAGACATGCACTTTCCTGCAGGCCCATTGTCACTCTTACAGAGTTCAGTGCTGTGTATGTTACCGGTCAAAACATAAAAAAATCAAGTCCTGGTGTATTACATGCCAAATCACAATACGATTTTGAGGCACAGTATATTAACCAACCAGGGTTCCTCAAGGTGCAGATAAATCTAAGTACGCCAATGTTCTTGTATTTGGCCCCCAACAAATTGTGGCTTCCATGGCTGAGCACTAACAGGACGGTATCACTTCAAAAGCTAGTATGCTGCAAAGTGTATTGTGAAATGCCACCTGTGTCTAAAATTTAGGCTCATAGAAGCAAGCTTTTGAGGTGAATTTTTCTTGGACCTAAGTATATTTGTTACACAGCATTCAATTTGTTAATGATGCCATAGACATAGTTGCTTCCTTCCTTTTGGTAGTGTACCACTGATGGCTTTATATAACTGACTGTGTTTGCAGTTACTAAGAGCATG